TGAGAGGTAGGGAGAGTGTGAGGGAAGGTGGGAGTGAGAAAGTGAGAAAGAGAGAGAGAAAGAGAGTGAGAGAAAGAGAGAAAGAGGGAGAGAGGCAGAAAAAGATAAAGATAGAGAGACAAAATGAAAGTGAGAGAGAGGGGGCGGGCAGAGAAAAGAAAGAGAAAGAGAGAGATAAAGACAAAGAGACACAAAGAGAAAGAAACATATATATATATATATAGACAGAGGAAGAGAAAGAGAAAGAGAGAGACAAAGAGAAAGAGAGAGAGAGAGAGAGAGAAAGAGAAAAAAGAGAAAGAGAGAAAGTGAGAGAGAGAGGGAGAGAAGAAGAGAGAAAAAAAAGAGAGAAGAGAGAAAGTGAAAGATGCAGAGAAAGAAAGAAAGAGAAGAAGAGAGAGAAAAAGAGAGAGAAGAGAGAAAGTGAAAGATAAGCAGAGAGAGAAAGAGATGAGAGGATATTCCTCTCAAAGTAATTAGTCAAAGTTCTTTAAATTAATTTCTCTACGCAATCCGTTAGAGAAAGTATTGGAATTCCATAATGGAAGTACTTAATCCAACCGGTATAGATTATTGATTTTTTTTTTCGTTTTTCTCTCAATCAGACATTCAGATATTCTTGATTAAGGGATCTACTTTGGCCCAGTCTAAGTGCCTGTCAGTCTGCATAAATCAATATATACGAATGTACAAACTAATAATATTATTACATTTTGATTGCACACACAACGGCAAGACTGACTCATGCATGAAAAAGTATAAATAGAAGAGGGTACAGTTTTCAGGTAGGCCTACTTTGTGTCTGAAATTATAGTTTAAAGGGGAGTGCAATATACTTCAACCGCCAATGTAATAGTGTGTGAAAGTGAGTGTGTGTGAGTGTGTGTGTGTATGTATGTGTGTGTGTGTGTGTATGTGTGTGTGTGTGTGTGTGTGTGTGTGTGTGTTACACATGGTTTTGGATTTGCCTCTTTATACCCTCTTGGCATAAGCATCACCGGGACACACTTTTCAACCGGAAGAGACCTCATTTGGGACAGCGATTGCGGGATAAAAAATAAAAGAAAAATTCCTTCGCCGAATTTAATCAGAGTGGCGTCATATCCTTCCGGGAAATCCTTCCGTTTGGGCGATCCTTCACTAGGGCCTTATAGGGTTCATCTTGTGCTTGACTGCAAGGGATGCGAAGGATTAAATACAGTTCATATAGACACGCGCGCATAATGATACTCACATGATAACAAGTATAATATATAATTACTCACACACACACTCACACACATATATATATGTGTGTGTGTGTGTGAATATATTTATCCTGAGAAATATGATAGATAGGCCTACTTATATATACACATCTTAACAAATATGATATATACTTATATATACTCAGCTTAAGGAATATAACATTTGAAATACATGATCACCAATCTATCTGTATCAGTTTATAAGCATAGAGTGCAGAAAGACCGACATGACAGCAGACGAGCAAGGAAAGCACATTCTCAATGTTAATATCTATAGAGGCATACAAATACAAAAATATGGATCTCTACATTTATATATATATATATTTCCCTCTGCACACACAAACACACACATACATACACACACATATATACATATACACATATATATATATATATATATATATATATATATATATATATACACACATACATAGACACACACACATATATACATACACACGCACACATGCATACATACATACACATGCACGGTTCCCCACACTCCCAAGTGTTGCCCACGAGTCGACAATTTTCATCTGGCAATGCTTTATTATGGTGTGTAGACAATTATAGCATATTAAAACTGACAAAACAAATGTTGATTGTTTGTAATAAAAAAAAAAAAAAAAATAAACAAATGACAACAGTTTCGGATTCTCCGGCCTTGGAGGTTCTTACACACACATACACGTACACACAAATAGACATACAAACACCCACACACATACACCCCCCCCCAACACATACACACACAAACATACATACATACACAATGGAAACCTGACTTACTAAACGGCCCTCCTGCGGCAGCATAGGCAACCATCGCCGACACTCTGTAAAAAAACATTTTTCATTAGTTTTAAGCCACGAACACACGCGCAACATTCTTCATTTCCGTCTCGACTCATTTCCTGAGGAGGAAGGAGGAAGATGCTCACAGGAGGAACACGAGGAAAATCCGCTTGACCATCGCTGGCAACCTTTCTCAGCGAAGACCAAGACCTTCTGGCGGGAGTTTCCGTTCCTCGTGTTTTAAAGGAGGCGACTGGCGCTGTGTTTACAAAAGACATGTGGGAGATCCGGCTGCTATTTCTTTCTGAGTTTAATGTTGTCGATAAGTGTTGGGTTTGAGAAATCACGATCGTTAGAGGCCATTTTTTTTTATCATTTTTTATTTATTTATTATCATTTTTTATTGGTTTTTGCCTAATGAAAAGCGATCGGACGCATATTCATACGCAAGGGTAATT